GCAAATTCGAAGAATGAACTGGTGTGACATAATTTTAAACAAAAGCAGCCCAAAGCGAAGTTCGTTTGGAGTTTCTCAGAAAATGGGAGAATATAAAGAGTGTCAAACTCCTGAAATGATGTGATTTAATTTGAATAAATAGCATGTTAATATAATTATGCATGATATTCGTCATGTTTTGGATTGCTGATTATTTAGTCTGAAAGAAAGGTTTGTTTTTTGCTATGTACAGCAGTGCTGCCTGGCTCTGTTTCTTTTTCGGCTGGCAAAAAGAGTTTTAAAACACACACACACACACACACACACAATGGCTTTATTAATAACAGGAGATGACTGTCGGCCTGCCAGTTTGACACAACTTGCTGTGTCATTTTGTGACTCCAAGCCCAGCCTCTCTCCTTCTCTTTCTCTCGGGGCTGAGAAGTGTGCAGCAGACGGATACATTGACATAAGGGAATACTCAGGAGTGATCACAGTTCTCATGCTCCACAGAGAGAATGAGAAGAAGAGAGAGAGAGAGAGAGAGAGAGAGAGAGTGGAGCTCCATCCCTGTGTCCCTGTTTTTTTTTCCTCATTGTCACAGTCATGCCCCCCCGGTTTATACCTCATAACACACAAACAGAAAAACACAAAGTTAATGGATTAGTTTACTAACAAACATTTTGTTTAACATGAGATAGTAGGGCGAGCAAATGATGACAAAATTGTAATTTTTGAGTGAACTATTCCCTTACAAATACTGTTAGTATGAAGTCCCCATTTCAGCAGTGGAAGGCTTCGAGATGAGGATTAGCAGGTTTCTGCGCAGGTGGCTGGGACTGCCTCGAAGCCTGAGCAGCATCGCACTCTATGGGCACAATAATAAGCTGAAGCTTCCCATGAGCAGCCTGAGCGAGGAGTTCATGGTGACGCGGTCCAGGGAGGTCTTACAGTATCGGGAGTCCAGAGATCCAAAGGTTGCCCAGGCTGGGATTGAGGTCAGGACAGGGCAGAAGTGGAGGGCTGCCGTGGCAGTGGATGACGCAGAGTCGAGGCTACGGCAAAGGATATTGGTGGGCTCAGTGGCACATGGGAGAGCTGCCCTGGGCAGCAGAAGAACTCCTCGCTACCATAAGGCAGAAGGGAAAGAGAGGAGGTCCCTGATCCTGGAGGAGGTGCGTGCCGGAGTTGAAGAGAAGCGAGCTTGCCAGATGGCTGGGATGCGGCAACAGGGCGCCTGGACAAGATGGGAGCAAACACTGGAGCGAAAAGTGACATGGACTGAGTTGTGGAAGGCGGAACCACACAGGATAAAATTCCTGATTCAGGCGGTCTATGACGTGTTGCCAAGTCCATCCAACCTCTTCTCCTGGGGAAAGGTTGAGACACCAGCATGCCCCCTCTGCCAGAGGAGAGGAACGTTGGAACACATCCTGAGCTGCTGTCCGAAAGCCCTGGGCGAAGGGCGTTACCGCTGGCGGCATGACCAGGTCCTAAAAGCCATAGCGGATTCTATCTGCAGTGGAATCAGCCACAGCAAGAGCATTCGCCCAGTGAAGACCACAGCCTTTGTCAAAGCTGGGGAGAAGTTAATACCAGCTGCCCGGGGCACCTCCTCTGGCCTGTTGCCAACTGCGCGTGACTGGGAGCTGGCAGTTGATCTGGGTAAGCAGCTAAAGATCCCTGAAGCAGTTGCCATAACAACATTAAGGCCTGACATTATGTTCACCTCGGAGGCCTCCAAGCAGTTAATTCTATTGGAGTTGACAGTGCCTTGGGAGGACCGTATGGAGGAGGCCAATGAAAGAAAGAGGGCAAAGTACTCCCAGCTTGTAGAGGAGTGCCGGAGCAATGGGTGGCGGACAATATGCCAACCAGTTGAAGTGGGATGTCGAGGGTTTGTGGGCCATTCCCTTTGCAGGGCCTACAAAATGCTTGGCATCACAGGGGCGAGTCAGCGAAGGGCCATCAAGTTGGCCACGGACGCTGCAGAAGCAGCATCAAGGTGGCTGTGGATCAGGAGAGGAGAAGCATGGCGTGTAGGGCAGTAGCGCTACCTGGACATAAGCTGGGACTTGATCACCCCAGCTGGGTCGCCTAGGGGAGGGGGTCTGATTGTTGAAAGACCCGAAACCCCCCGTGATCCTAGGTTACATCACTGAAGATATGTCCAGGTGCACCAGACGGTGTATTAAAAAACCTTAGTGGCCGACAGAGTACCAATCAGTCTTCTGATTGGTTTAACAATAGTGTCTGTCATAGGGATAGATGTGATATCTCAGGACACATAGTTCACAGGTTATACGTCTTCTACGCATGCGCAAGGGTTCTCGTCTCCGCTCTCGCAAACATCAACTGTGCGCATGCTTCGGTAGAACCAGACGATAGGCTTACATGTTTCCCGGCTTGACTGTTAAAAGTGGACGATTGGCTTTCAAGCGTAAGGGGCGTTGCATGTGCAACCGCCATCTTTGGCGTAATGGGGTTTCCATATAGTTGTATTGAGTATTGAGGAAGTGGTGTTATACGTTAGAATAAATATTAACATAAACGGCTAACATCGTCTTTTATATAGACCCCTTTTGCGCCAACGTCACAGTTACGTCAAGGTGCTAGCTGGAGGCAAAACAATGTGAAAACTGGAGGCGGCCAATACAAACCAGCACAGATTCGGCTACATAATAAGGAGCTTAAATTATTATTACAATGATTAAATGTCATCTTGTTGTGTTTTTTGGTGCAAGAATTGATGAAAAATGTATGCATTTTTAGAAAATATTCACATCATTAAAATCGCACCGTAATGTCACTCTTTACATTGTCGTCGTCTCGGCGCTGGCTCGGCATAACTGCGGATCATACACACAAGTCTTGTACAGGACCACATAGTTGTAGGCATCTAAAGGTTTATATGCCCTCAGTTTCTCTTTACGATCGGTTTCTCTATAAGGTAGGTGTAGAATTCAGGCCACTCAACCGAGGTAACGTAACGTTAATCCTGTCAGATCGTCCATACATTGAGTGAGTGTGTAGGCGGGTACGGGTCGGCCAATCTTGTTCCGTCAGTTAAAGATAACTTTTGGAAATAACAATCGCGGTCCTGGACACTGAGTGACCTTACACAGTAAGATAAAATTGGATTTTCTTCAGTCATTGTTAAAAAAACAGGCTAACAATACTTGCTACCTAGCAATAGTGAAGCGGCCAGAGGGATCGTTCTGCCTCCACCTAAGCTCCGCCCACAAAAAAAAACGTCACCATGTTTACCAACTGAAAAGGGGTCTATATGTGACCCTGGACCACAAAACCAGTGACATGGGTACATTTTTTGAAATTGAGATTTATACCTGAAAGTTGATTAAATAAGCTTTCCATTGATGTATCTATATCTATAGTATACATCTATTACACTGGTGAATATACATAGTATACACTGGGGTGGTGATGGCGCAGTGCATAAGACACATACCTTTGGTGTGACAAACCCGGGTTCGAATCCACTGTGAGACACCAATGTGTCCCTGAGCAAGACACTTAACCCCTAGTTGCGCCAGAGGCATATGACATATAAAGCAATTGTAAGTCGCTTTGGATATAAAGCGTCAGCTAAATTAATAAATAATAAATTAGTAAATGTACATATTACATCTATACAGATACAACTATTTGAAAATCTGGAATTTGAGGGTGCAAAAATAACGAAATATTGAGAAAGTCCATTTATGTTCGTGATTGTGCTGTATCCACTCAAAATATTTTATATATTTACAGTAGGAAATTTACAAAATACTGTATTCATGGAACATAATCTTTACTTAATATCCTAATGATTTTTGGCATAAAAGAAAAATCAATAATTTTGACCCATACAATTTTGAAAAATTACAATTTTGACCCATACACCCATAATTTTTACCCATAATTATTGTTGGAACAAATTGTTGGCTATTGCCACTAATATACTGTACATGTGTGACTTGTGACTGGTTTTGTGATCCAGGGTCACATATGTTAACAAATACCCTCTCAAATGTTTGTTTGTCATGATGATTAATAAATTCAGCAAATAAAAGTGTCTGACAATAAGGGGTGGGGGGGGGGGGTTGGGGGTTGGGAGGGGGGGTTACAAAGTGAATAGTATTCGACTGGTCATTTGATTTCAAAATGTGACCCCTCCCCATGTAGAATTAAACAGCTTTGTTGTCTTCATCCTAGAGCTGTGTAACTCTGAGTGCCTCGGGCATTGGTGGGCTTAAATTTGTTACTGTATATATATATATATATATATATATATATATATATATATATATATACAGTATATATTATATACACAGTATATTTATATGTACACACACTCTAAACAATGCTGGGTTGTTTTAACCCAAATTTGGGTCAAATATGTAATTTAAAACTTTAACCCAACTTCAACTTTCACTTTCAACAGTATTTTTTTTTTAAATTACAGTTTAACCCAACAATTGGGTTTGTCCATATTTGACCCAAATTTGCGTTAAAACAACCCAGCATTTTTAGAGTGTATATATATATATATATATATATATATATGTACTGTATCTCTCTCCCTCTCTCTCTCTCTCTCTCTCTCTCTCTCTCTCTATATATATATATATATATATATATATATGATACAAATGTTACTGCATGCACCTTGATGAATGAGTGAATAATGGTTGAATAATGGTTTTGAATGTTTACATTTTCTAACTTCTGTTTGTGCATTTGTGTGTTTTGCAGCAGGAAGCTGCAAAAATGAGGAGCGTGTTTTTCGTGAACGCATGCGTCCCAGGAAGAGGCAGGGAGCTGTCCGGAGGAGAGTGCATCAAGTCAACGGGCACAAGTTCATGGCCACCTACCTGAGACAGCCCACCTACTGCTCACACTGCCGCGACTTCATCTGGTGAGTCCCACAGCAACTGTCAGCTGATATTTACAGCCGTGTAGAGTGCCGTTTGTACAGCTGCGTCTGTTGGTAAACCCGCGTCTGAGTTTTGACATAACAAGTGTACACTGTCCCTCCTCACGAGTCAGTTCACGGGTGGCTTCCCTTCAGAGGGCTGCGTTTCCATGGTAACTTCAGGAAAGCCCAGAGGCTCAGAGCGACAGTGCTACAATATGTGTGTATTGAGTGCGTCTGGCATCCTCCACACTTTAAGATAAGGTGCAGACATGATGTGTGGGACTGAAACTGAAGGAAAGGGCAGCGAATAACAACACACACCCTATGAAATCTATATTTGTGAACAGTTATTTTCTCCTAAAGAGTTACCAGGATACACTTCCTGGAAGCAATTTTTCAACATTTGAGGATATTTTTCCACACACTCTATATGCATTCCCTTTTGCATAATCTTTTTGCGAACACTTTGCAGTATGGCCTTATTTCTTACCATTATTAGTTAATGCATCAAAGTCCCCCTGTGGTGAAAATCAACTTTTTAATGTTGTTTGTATGTCCACGTGGTGTTTTTAATGAGACAAACTGTTCAAATTCAATGTTCAAATTCATAAGTCAACACAATTGCTGAGTATTTTCTCCTTAAAGCTGCAGTGAACCAAAGACAGTCTCTTTGAAATCACTGGTGTTTCTGACGTTACAAACTACCCTGTAACCAATCATGTCAACTTGTCGGCGGGCTTTAGCATATCATTAACAGTGAACTAGCAGGGGAGATGAGATGCCAGGTTATCCCAGTGTCTTTTTGTTGATATGATTTAGCAATATAGCAGGTGTATGATGTATATTACCATGTTACGATGAGCTATATGCCTTTCTCCACTGACGTTCTGAGTTGTTCACAGCGTTTCTGATTGTTAGAAGGCAGATTGAGATGGCGAACAAGAGCATGGTTTGTGTAACAAACGCAACACATTATTAGCTGTTTAATAGCACGGTAAAGAAAAAGGCTAATCATTATGTGTCCGTTATTTTATTTTATTTTATTTTATTTTCAAAGTCCGTCAATTACCGTTATGTGTCCGACGTCGTAAAGAGCAATACCTTTGTGCAGCGTTTCCCTCAGTAAGTTAGTCGAGTGAATCTCTGAGCTGGCGTGAGCAGAGGCGGGGCTAATTAGCATATTAATAGATCCACGTATAATACAATGTATAGTGAATGGTGTAGGGTGGCATTGAACTATTTTAAGGCACAACAATTTTTTATTCACAGGAAAAAAAATGTTGAAACATGTAATTTTGGTGATCGAATATGAGTTTTAAGGGACACAATTATTGAATCCAGAGAATTTAAAGAAGGAATAATTGGCGACCATGCACACCTAAGGTGGTAATGTGGCCACGACTCATAGCAGATTTTCTAAAAATTCAGCAAACTTTATTTATTTATGAACTGTTTAATGCATACTAAAATAAATGCTGTTGTGTTTAGTGTCACTGTTCAAGACTTCTTCCTTCTCTTCACAGGGGTGTATTAGGAAAGCAAGGGTATCAGTGCCAAGGTAGGTATTCAGTTTTCTTATTATTTCTCCATATCAGTGTTTCTGTTTGAGTTCGGTTTTATCGGGTTCCTTGTTAATCAAAAATATTATATCTAAAGCAAAAAAAAAAAAAAAACACATCAACATTCTTATTAAAGGAATAACTCAACCAAAATTATAATTTTGTAATTTACTTATCCAAATATTTATTGTATTTTCAGTGGAACACAAAAGAGATATTTTAAAATAATGGTATGACGGCTGTATTCATTTTGAACTGTTGTGGTGGTATGGAAAAGAGCTATCAAGATAACAACGCAAGAGATCACTGGAGAAGTCAGTTCGACTCAAGCACTTTATTCAAAATTCCCTTTTTGTGTTCCACAGAATAAAACAACAAAATAAGGTGAACAAATAATAGGATAATATTTATTTTTAGGTGAATTATTCCTTTAAGCAATGAATAGCTCACAATCTGAAATGAAGGAAACTTCTGGCATGGACAGGAACCTCCTAAAAATATCATATCTATACTGTAGCTGAAAAACATTCTTAACACATCCGAAAAGTGAAGTAAAGCTAATTTCGTCGACTCCTTGTCTCTGTCCCTCAGTGTGCACCTGTGTAGTTCATAAACGCTGCCATGAGCTGATCATCACTAAATGTGCAGGTCTAAAGAAACAGGAGGACACCACAGAGGAGGTGAGAGGAACCTGTAGAAAAATCACACATGATGTCCCTTTCAAAACTCTCATTTAAGATCCTTTCACCAATTTGAGCAAATAGAAACTTTTGCTTAGATTTTCTACTTTCCTGATGTTTATCCTGTGAAAAAAAAAATAACCCTTAAATCTTTTCTTGAATTTCAGAAGAGGTCTTAACGCTGTTTCAAACTTTGTTCAGATTTGCAAAGATGCAATGGAAAAAAACATTTCTCATCGTATTTATCTTAGAGTTATGTTATCTATGCTTTAATTTCAAAGTTCTCTAGCTCAGGGGTTCTTCAACTCTGGCCCTCGAGGTCCACTTTCCTGCAGAGTTTAGCTCAAACCTTCATCAAACTCACCTGCCTACTTATTTTGAATAAGTATTTACTTCATGACAGCTAATATGTATGTTCTATCTATATGGTATGAGTCTATGTAGTATGAATGTAATCCTTACTTACTACATATGCCATGTTGTCCTTAGTCATGCTCCAAACCGCTAACTGTATGCCTTATCATATCGTCATCTTATTGGTTAAATTCTACGGGATGTCCTATAGACGTATGAGTATTTTTTTTAGCGGTCCACCTGTAAACAAAGATCCCTTGATGCCAAACCCCCTCATGGAGAAGAAAGCTGATGTGTTTACAACTGTGACAATGAGCCCTGAGCCCTAAAGTTTATGGCATAGACTCTTTAAAATACATCCAAGAGTTGTAACACAGTGGAAAATCAATGACATTACATTTTCACAACATTACATGTTCACGCACACTAACCATGACAATGTCAATGAAAGATGCTATGGGGTCCAAAATTTCTGCAGCCAGTCTGAAGGTCTGGCTATGCGAGACTATGTTGTCATTATCATGTGATCTACCAGCATCAGTTGTGTCAGTTCACTGCCATTCATAGATCCTCTCCTGTGGCCTCATGGGATGGTAAAGTGTTCATCGTATGCACACTTCTCGCCAGAAGTAGTTGGTCATTCGGGTACATTTTGCCTACTCTTTTGTTGTCACATACTTCTTTTTTTTTCGCTTACTATACAGAAGGGAATTATGTGAATTCGGATGCAACCAACAACATTTTAAGTAAGGGTTGGAGAAAAACTCGGCAGGAAAGTGGACCTGGGGGTCATTTTTTTCTAGTTTAAGTTTATTTTCAATCTACTTTATTTAAAAAGCAACACCTGACACATACAACTTTCCTCTTGCTTTAAAGTACATAGTCTACCATGTTTTTACTGTTAGCAGACATCACTGTGTGTGTAGGCTTTATTAAATGGGTGTCACTACCCACAGCTATATACAGTATATTGGATGTAAGTTGTAATAATAAAAGCTAAAAATGAGTTTTGCAGTTTTTCCTTTGTTAAAATGCTTGTGATCACTGCACAGGCATCTTTCTGATCCTCTATCGCCCCCTGCAGGTTGGATCTCAGCGCTTCAGCGTCAATATGCCTCATAAGTTCCGGATTCACAACTACAAAGTCCTCACGTTCTGTGACCACTGCGGTTCATTACTGTGGGGTCTGCTGCGGCAAGGGCTGCAGTGCAAAGGTGAGAGCGGCATTCTGGGAAATATAGATACAGGGTTCCCTCAGCCATAGAAAAGCTGCCAATTTTTCAGGGATTTTTTCATTATTTTGTCATTTCATGGTATTTTTTTTTTTGTTATGTTCTGTTATTAAATATATTCATTCACGACTGCCAATTGAGAATCCTAATTAGATATATACTATTTTTTGTATAATGGTGTGTTGTTTCATCCCATGTGTGGATCAAATTTCAATAAAAAAAATTTAAACCAATAGTTGGGTTTGTCCATATTTGACCTGAATATGGGCTGAAACAATCCACCATTATTTAGAGTGTGTGTGTATATATATATACAAGTATATAATACTATATATATATATATATATATATATATATTATTTAGAGTGTGTATGTATATTATATAAATATATATATATATATATATACAGTACTGTGCAGAAGTCTTAGGCACACTAATATTTTCGCCTCAAAGAAATGGTTTTAAGCCAGTTATTTATATATTTTGTTGTAGTGTCTCAGTAGGAAATATCAAATTACATTTCCAGACATGAATTGTGCCATTAATTGTAATAATCCAGTGAAATTTTTGAATGCACAAGGATTCTGACAACAGCCAATGCTCCACACGGAGGTCTGATCTCACCATCATCGAGTGCATCTGAAATAATATGAAGAAACAGAAAAAAATAAATAAATACTAAGACCAGAAGAACTGTGGCAACGTCTCCAAAGACGCTTGAAAAAACCTGCAAAACTAAAAACTATGTGCAATACCTGCGCAAAAGCTGTTTTAAACGTAAAGGGTACTAAACACCTATTGATTTGATTTAGTTAACTGTTAAAAGTTAATAACAGTTAATAATAGTTAACTAATAAAATGAATTGATGAATAAAATCTATTTATGATTATGACATTATTTTTGAAAACATTCTCATTTACAGCATTTTTACACAAGTGCCTTAAACTTTTTCACAGAGCTTTGCAGGCAGGCACTACCTTCAAGACGTTGCTGCAGTCCTTCTGTTCTTAGTCTCTGTTTTTTCTGTTTCTTCATATAATTTCAGATGCACTCGATGATGGTGTGGAGCATTGGCTGTTGTCAGAATCCTTGTGCATTCAAAAATTGCACTGGATTATTACAATTATTGGCACAATTAATGTCTGGAAATGTAAACTGATATTTCCTACTGAGACACTACAACAAAATATATAAATAACTGGCTTAAAACCATTTCTTTGAGGCGAAAATAGTAGTGTGCCTAAGACTTCTGCACAATACAGTATATATATCACCTAAAGGATTATTAGGAACACCATACTAATACTGTGCTTGACCCCCTTTCACCTTCAGAACTGCCTTAATTCTATGTGGCTTTGATTCAATAAGGTGCTGAAAGCATTCTTTAGAAATGTTGGCCCATATTGATAGGATAGCATCTTGCAGTTGATGGAGATTTGTGGGATGCACATCCAGGGCATGAAGCTCCCGTTCCACCACATCCCAAAGATGCTTAGATTTTAGTACAGTGAACTCATTGTCATGTTCAAGAAACCAATTTTAAATGAAGCTTTGTGACATGGTGCATTATCCTGCTGGAAGTAGCCATCAGAGGATGGGTACATGGTGGCCATAAAGGGATGGATATGGTCAGAAACAATGCTCAGGTAGGCCGTAGCATTTAAACGATGCAAAATTGGCACTAAGGGGCCTAAAGTGTGCCAAGAAAACATCCCCCACACCATTACACCACCACCACCGGCCTGCGCAGTGGTAACAAGGCATGATAGATCCATGTTCTCATTCTGTTTACGCCAAATTCTAACTCTACCATCTAATGTCACAACAGAAATCGAGACATTTTTCCAGTCTTTAACTGCAACTCTTGCAAGTGTAGCCTCTTTTTCCTATTTGTAGTGGAGTTGAGTGGTACCCGGTGGGTTCTTCTGCTGTTGTAGCCCATCCGCCTAAAGGTTGTGGCTTCACAAATGCTTTGCTGCATACCTCGGTTGTAACAAGTGGTTATTTCAGTCAAAGTTGCTCTTCTATCAGCTTGAATCACTCGGCCCATTCTCCTCTGACCTCTAGCATCAACAAGGCATTTTTCTCCCACAGGACTGCCGCATTCTGGATGTTTTTCCCTTTTCAAACCATTCTTTGTAAACCCTAGAAATGGCTGTTCGTGAAAATCCCAGTAACTGAGCAGATTGTGAAATACTCAGACCGGCCCGTCTGGCACCAACAACCATGCCACGCTCAAAATTTATTATAATGTTTATTTTTTTTTTTTCAAGTTAAACTAGGAATAAAAAATGTTTAAGGATTTTGTTTACATGTTCTATTTTACTTCAAGTAATGAAAGTTTTCTTATGGTTTTAGTTGTAGTTTTACTAAACGATAATAGCCCTGCTATATCCCCAAATCTTCCTAGATTCAAACATGCATTGATAGAGTGTAAGTTCTCATGCCGTCTCCCTTCATTTCTCTGTCCTCAGTTTGTAAGATGAATGTGCACAAGCGCTGTGAAAGTAATGTAGCTCCTAACTGTGGGGTGGACGCCAGGGGCATCGCCAAGGTCCTGTCCGACCTCGGAGTCACTCCAGATAAACTCTCCGGCAGCGTCCAGAGGAGAAAAAAAGTAAGAGACCGACAATCATCAGGAATTATGTGTTCCCACTAGAGAAGTAGGCATGTAGAACTGAAAGGTCAAAAGCCTCCTTCTCCTCCATGCAGCTGTAGACGATAAATACACTGATTACTGATGACATAATGGTCTTTTATAGCAAGCACTCGTTCAGGCCTCCTGAAACATACAGTAATGATGATTGAATGATGAAGATGATTTGTTCTTGTTTTCCACACAGATCTCTCAGGGTCCAGATCCACAACCCTTACCCATATCCCCACTGTTAGAAGAGGACCGATCCAGATCTGCACCTACATCACCATGTGACCAGGGTAAACAAATAAAGCTAAATATAAAGCTCTGCAGATGCTTCTTCGGTTAAAGGAGAACTCCGGCGAACAATGAACCTTTGGTCTAATAAAACATCGGTACCTAGTCAACCGTTCTCTGAGATTTGTTTTCATGATAATTGAATGTAAAGAGTTTTATCTCTAAAAACTGTTTAGCGTATAATGCTAGTAATGGGGGCATTGACTAAGTAAAAAGAAATCGCTAGTTTATACCACTAAAAAGGCTCAAAATAGCCCCACACTAACGCAGTAACATAATGAGGCTCCATACATGCAAAACGAAGCATTGAGAACTTTGTAAGTGTACAGACCGTTTAATAAGAAGATACTTTATGAAGACAGTTCACTTCGCGTATACAGACAGGAGCCATCTTAAAAAATAGTCTTGATAAGTCGATCCCCGAACGCCGCTCATACAGTTCAGAAGTTTGTTGAACTTCATACAGTTCAGATCACTCAGCACGACGTTCGTGGTTTGACTTATCGAGACTATTTTTAAGATGGCTCCTGTCTGTGAACGCGAAGTAAACTGTCTTACACTTGAAGTCTGTACACTTACAAAGTACTCAATGCTTCGTTTTGCATGTATAGAGCCTCATTATGTTACTGTGTTAGTGTGGGGCTATTTTGAGCCTTGTTAGTGGTATAAACTAGCCATTTCTTTTTACTTAGTCAATGCCCCCATTACTAGCATTATACGCTAAACAGTTTTTAGAGATAAAACTCTTTACATTCGATTATCATGAAAACAAATCTCAGAGAACGATTGACTAGGTACCGATGTTTTATTAGACCAAAGGTTCATTGTTCGCCGGAGTTCTCCTTTAAATACATTATTTTATTATATTCAGTACAACATCTTACCACATAAATAAATATTACCTCAAGTTTGTAATTAACTTAAAATGGAAGTCTATGGGGCCATTGTGTCAAAAAAATGAAGCTTGTGTTTTGTCTTTGTATGACAAACAAACTGATATTGTCATCAATGAAATCAAATGGCTAATAGTCTAAAAGGGCTGTATTTAATTTAAAAGCTACAACTTTTGTGTTACAGTACGCTTATAATGGTTTATTGTCATTTTGAAGCTTAACAGCTTTTGATAAATATGCGTTTGATAGCCAGTGCTTTATGTCATTTATACCTTAAATATCCATAACATGTCTATATAACTATATGCACAGGCACATTTGCTGATTTGGCGCTCATTTTTTCATTAACAATGCTGAAAACAGAATTTTTGCGTGATATATTTTTTTCTGGATTGTTAGATGAAAAGAAAGTGTCAAAAGAACAGAATTATTTGAAACAGAAATCTTTAACATTATAAATGTCTTTACTCTAACTGTTGATCAATTCAGTGCACCCTTGCTGAATTAAACTATTCATTTCTTTCAAAATAGAGTACATCTTTAAAACACGGTAGATCTGATGCTGTGTTATACCCTTAGACTTCTATTGTACGTGCATTGCACATGTATTATGTTTGTTTTTTACAATCTGAATGTGAGTATATGGTACTCGATATGGGGTCAGATAGCATGTGATGTGATTTGGCTCTTTCTTTTGTGATCTGCAGATACAAAGGACATAGAGAACATCAGGAAGGCACTTTCGTTTGACCATCGAGGTGAAGAGCTAAAGCCAACCTCGTCCTCCTCTCTGACCGAGGGAGAGTCAGAAGAGACGGGGGAGGCGAGAGAGAACGGAGAGGTGAAGACCGTCCAGACCAAACGGATGATGCTGGAAGACTTCTCCTTCATCAAAGTGCTCGGGAAAGGCAGCTTTGGCAAGGTGGGGATCGTGTCTGGTAGTTTTGTCTGGTGTGTAATAAGGGCCCAGCAGTCTGAGCGCAGTGTTGTCTTTGTGTACAGGTGATGCTGGCTGAGTTAAGAGGCACTGATGAGGTTTTTGCGGTGAAAGTGTTGAAGAAAGACGTCATCCTGCAGGACGATGATGTGGACTGCACCATGACTGAGAAACGCATCCTAGCCCTTGCCAGAAAACACCCTTATCTTACCCAACTGTACTGCTGCTTTCAGACCAAGGTGAGAGCCAGGAGTGTTTCTGCTCTACATTCAGTTTAGCCTCATTGCAAACTTTCAAATAATGAGCGAAATGGACAGTCGAGCACTAAATAGCAAAACATTCTCCTTATTCATAAATGTTTTGAAGATTGCCACTAGATGGAGCTGTAATGTTACATTCTGTCCGGTATTCAGATGGCTTTTATAGCTTGTGCGTAGCTTTTACAGCGCTTGAGCTCTTTATTTGAAGAGGGCAAGGTTGTGGCTTTGGGAATAATTGTCAGTTCATCAAGAATATGGGCACATTTTAGAAAATGTCAAATGTAAAATGTTTAGAAAATGTAAAATGTCAAATGAAAAGCTATTACGTTTATACACTGAAATGAGAATTACACTTTAAATCAAAAGTGAACTGCTAAAATTATCTGCTGTAAATCTAAATAAAATCCGAATAAATCAATACATATTTACAAACTGTCGTAAGATGAACTGTAAAAAACAAACACTTAAATTTTTTTTCTTAAATTACTTGTATTAAATAAACTAAAAAGAGCAAATGCTAAAAGTAAGATCAAAATAAAACATTTTATATAAAAGCATAAATTATAAAGACCAAAACGTAAAAGCTATAATATTAATCATATTAATAATGATTAATATAAAATCTGTGCATAATGTGAATACAGTATAATAGAAACATGTTTGTCTTGGACTATAGTTCCTAAGATTTTCAATATTGGAAATATCAGATAGTTTTAAAAGTAAAAAGTCTGAAAAAATGTCATGGACATTTCTATACTGATAATAAATCCAGATTATTCAGTTATGATCAGCTCTGAAATATTTGTTTGTGTAGTTATTGCTCTTTGTGAATGGTTTATTACCGTTTAAAATAACTGACTGTAAACTAAAAAGAAGATGGAATATATAAAATAAGTAAAAATAAAAATATAGATAAACGTAATATAGCCAAAAAACAACAACAATAATACAACAATGATACAAAAATTAATAATAATAATGATCATTATTATTATCTGGAAAATACATTGTAATTTCTATTCTGACCATACAATTATCCAGTTATGATCAGTTCTGAAATATTTCTTTGTGAACTTTTGTGAATATGTTCTCATGCAATGATTTTTACATATCCTCCTAATCCAGTATCCAGTCATGGCAATTAAAAATGAGTGGAAACCTTTTTTTTTTTTTTTTTTCCTTTAAAGCCTCTCAGTTTCAATCAATTGAACATTATAGGTGGTAAAGGGATTATTTATTATCATGACTCATCATAATGCTGAATATCAAATACATTTGTGTTCTTATCCATTACACAAACAGTCTGCAGCTGATCACATACAAATACAGAAATACACACACACACACACACACACACACACACAAAACAATTTAATATAATTTATAAGCTGTTTTCCTCATGGGGACCAAAACACGTCCCTACTCTATCAAAGATTCCTGGTATGTCCCTCCCTACAGGGAACCACCTATATATTTAAACCACCTATATATATATATATATATATATATAAAATATATACAGTATATACCTGAACCACACACACAAACGCTCGGGTTAGGAACAGGTTGATCTGTTCGCCAGCACGTGTGTTCCCGGACTCAGAAGGGCAGGCACCTGTTGGAAGGGAACATTTCTTTTATAGTCTATAATAAGCTCACATCAGATAAACTCTCCACATTAGGTCACCATTCTAATTCTCGCTCAGTCTCTCTCGGTCTGCTGGTGTGATAATTGTTTTAGATTGAGCCAACTGTTTAAGAACAGCAGTCCTAACCTCACATGAGCATAATGTTTATTTTCCTCCACTAAAACCTGGAGTCAGCCATCATGACGGCATCCTCCACTCCTCTAATTTATTTACTTCTGCAGTTTCCCCAAACAAGCAAAAAGAACATTGTGTCCTTACTGTGAACATGAGTGGGAGGAGGTAAAGGGAAGGGGAGGGGAACGAGCTCGGGCGAGAAGGAAAAGGGCGAGTGTAGGATGAAAGAATGGTGGAGAACAAGATGACCTCTTTAAACTGAAAACGTATAGTCTTAAAACACCATAACAGTGATGAGTTTTAACTGAAGGTGACATTTAAGAATAGTCGCCATAATATAATTACTTTCACTGTATTTTTAGTGTGAGTAGAGCAATGACAGGAAATGACACAGAAATGGGATTGGGAAATGTCATGTGCTGGATTTGAACTTGCACTGCCCGCTCTAGATAGTCCTGGTCCTGGGGACCCGCCACTCTACATATGTTGTACTGTATGTCTTCCTTAATTAACTCATGGAGCTCATTAGGAAGAGTTCCATGAACTCAACTAAGGGCATCAAAAAATTCATAAAGAGATTGTAAAACTAATTCATATTAATTGAGTAGTTTAGTCTGAATTATCTGAAGAAACTCAATTGGTTTACATGATGAAGAGATTGCATTTAGGGTTTTATTCACATTTACTGTACACATTTATCAACTCACTCATCTGTTGTGGTGAACGGAAGGTCAAGCATGTTCGCTTGACATGCAGGAACCAATGAGGTTCATTCTTGTGTGTTTCGCAGCACGTTCGAGCTTCATCAAGAACCAATGAGGTTTATTCTTGTGCTTCGCAGCATGTTCAAGCTTCATTAAAAACCAATAAGGTTCTTTCTTGTGTTTCGCAGCACGTTCGAACTTCAGCAAGAACCAATAAGGTTCTTTCTTGTGTTTCGCAGCACGTTTGAGCTTAATCAAGAACCAATGAGGCTCATTGTCATGTGTTTCGCAGCACGTTCGAGCTTCATCAAGAACCAATGCGGTTCTTTCTTGTGTTTTGCAGCACGTTTGAGCTTAATCAAGAACCAATGAGGCTCATTGTCATGTGTTACTCAGCACATTTGAGCTTCATCAAGAACCAAAGAGGTTCATTTTTGTGTTTCGCAGCACATTCAAGCTTCATCAAGAACCGTGGTTCATTCTTGTTTCACAGCACGTTCGAACTTCATCAAGAACCAATAAGGTTCATTCTTGTGTTTCGCAGCATGTTTGAGCTTCAGCAGGAACCAATGAGGTTCATTCTTGTTTCGCAGCACGTTCGAACTTCATCAAGAACCAATGAGGTTCATTCTTGTGTTTAGCAGCATGTTTGATCTTCAGCAGGAACCAATGAGGTTCATTCTTGTTTCGCAGCACGTTCGAACTTCATCAAGAACCAATGAGGTTCATTCTTGTGTGTTACGCAGCACATTTGAGCTTCATCAAGAACCAATGAGGTTCTTTCTTGTGTTTCATAGCACGTTCGAGCTTCAGCAACAACCAATGTGGTTCATTTTTGTTTTTTTGCAGCTCTTTCGAGCTTACGCAAGAACCAATGAGGTTCATTCTCGTGTGTTACACAGCATGTTTGAACTTCAGCAAGAACCAATGAAGTTAACTTTTGTTTCGCTCCACCTTTGATCTTCCGCGAGAACCAATGAGGTTCATTCCTGTTTCGCAGCACGTTTGAGCTTCAGCAGGAACCAATGAGGTTCATTCTTGTGTGTTACGCAGCACATTTGAGCTTCAGCAGGAACCAATGAGGTTCATTCTTGTTTCGCAGCACGTTTGAGCTTCATCAGGAACCAATGAGGTTCATTCTTGTTTCGCAGCACGTTTGAGCTTCATCAGGAACCAATGAGGTTCATTCTTGTGTGTTTCGCAGCACGTTTGAGCTTCAGCAGGAACCAATGAGGTTCATTCTTGTGTGTTACGCAGCACATTTGAGCTTCATCAAGAACCAATGAGGTTCATTCTTGTTTCGCAGCACGTTTGAGCTTCATCAGGAACCAATGAGGTTCATTCTTGTTTCGCAGCACGTTTGAGCTTCAGCAGGAACCAATGAGGTTCATTCTTGTTTCGCAGCACATTTGAGCTTCAGCAGGAACCAATGAGGTTCATTCTTGTGTGTTACGCAGCACATTTGAGCTTCATCAAGAACCAATGAGGTTCATTCTTGTGTTTCGCAGCACGTCCGAGCTTCATCTGCAGCACGTTCGAGCTTACGCAAGAAACAATGAGGTTCATTCTTGTTTGTTACGCAGCTTGTTTGAGCTTCAGCAAGAACCAAAGATGTTCATTCTTGTGTGTTACACAGCACATTTTAGCTTCAACAAGAATGATTCGTTATTGTGTTACACTGCACATTTTAGCTTCAGCAAGAACCAATGAGGTTCATTCTCGTGATACGCAGCGCGTTTTAGCTTTCAATTCAATTCAAAGAACTTTATTTATCCGTTAGGAATTTCATTCTCACTGAGCATCAACGTGTGTACGGTTCCACAGCACAATATACCACACACAGTTCTATATAAATAAATAATAAGTAAATAACTAAAGCTTGCAAAGTACAATAAATACATGATACATATACAGGAAACATTAAAAGGTTGCATTAAAATAGATAAATAAAGAAAGATTAATCACAAATCCACGCACACGGACATACACCTTGATGAATACATTTATCAACCATTCATGCTTCTAATGGTTGTGGGCACAAAACTTGTCATGGCTCTGTTGGTCCTGAATAAGAGTGATCTGTATCTCTGGCCTGAGGCTAGAAGACTATAGTGGCTGTGCAATGTGTAAGTGGTGTCTGAGGCTATTTGTATTCCTCCTGTTATAAATACTGATAAGTGGTTCCTGCACCTGTCCGATTATTTTACTACTCATTGTTATGATTTTGTTTAGTGTGTTGCTTGCGATTGATGTTGGATAGTGATCCAAACCATTCTGATATATTGAAGGTTATTACAGACTCAATGAATCATTTGTAGAAAGCAATCAGGACTGACTGATGAACCTGAAGTCTAAGGAGCTTCCTCAAGAAAAAGAGGCGTTGCTGACACTTATTTTCAATATTTCTGAAAATATTTTCACTGCTTAGCTTGAAGGCAAGTTTGTGATCAAGTATTGTCCTGGGGTATCTATATGATCCAACCCTTTCTATTCACACTTTGTAGTCACGTGA